GGAGCCATAGCGGTGCAGGCAGAGCAGGGAGCCATGGCGGTGCAGGCAGAGCAGGGAGCCATGGTGGAGCAGAGACATGGACAGACCACTTAATTGTGACGGAGCAAGCAGAGAGTTCTTGAATGGCTTCCTTGGCCGTGAAAGGACAGGCAGTGAATTCATCGACGGCCTTCTTAATGACAGAGCAGACAGTGAGTTCATGAACAGCCTCCGTGGCCATGACAGGGCAGACAGTGAGTTCGTGAACGGCTTCCGGAGCCATGACAAGACAGTCTGTGAGTTCGTGAACGGCCTCCGTGGCCGTGACAGGGCAGTCTGTGAGTTCGTGAACGGCTTCCGGAGCCATGACAAGACAGTCTGTGAGTTCGTGAACGGCTTCCGGAGCCATGACAAGACAGTCTGTGAGTTCGTGAACGGCTTCCGGAGCCATGACAAGACAGTCTGTGAGTTCGTGAACGGCTTCCGGAGCCATGACAAGACAGTCTGTGAGTTCGTGAACGGCTTCCGGAGCCATGACAAGACAGTCTGTGAGTTCGTGAACGGCTTCCGGAGCCATGACAAGACAGTCTGTGAGTTCGTGAACGGCCTCCGTGGCCGCGACAGGGCAGGCAGTGAGTTCGGAAGCGGATGCCACCACCTCAGGAGGTTCTGCCGTGGATGCCGCCACCACTGGATGTTCTGCAGCGGAAGCTACCACGTCTGGAGGCACAGGAAAGGCTCTTGGAGCGGACTCGTGGACAGGAGAGGCCTCTGGAGCGGACTCGTGGATACTATAGCCCCCCCCCAAAAAAGCAGACTTTGGGGAAGTGGCATATTCCTCCATGACACCCACAGTAAAAGCAGATCCACTCAACCGCAGAGCAAAGTCTATATACTCGGCAAGGTACCAGTGAACCTTTCCCCCAGGAAGCTGGGAGCAAATGGGCTCGTTTAACCCATGATGGAAAATGTCTTTGAGCGCCACGTCATTAAAATCCACCTGGTGACGAAGTCCACAAAAGTCCTCCACGTAATCCTCTATGGACCGGTTTCCATGATGGAGGCAGAGGAGGCGTGAAACTGCTGGGTTCATTGTGGTGGTCGTTTATTCTGTAACGAATCATCCACTGAAGGCAAGCGTAAGTGAGAACCCAAGTGTTTGTGAGGTACTTGAGAAAACACCTGAAAAATAAAAAAAGGTTTACTAGCAGCTATCTGAGATATCTGCTATGCCTAAGTGTGCTTGCAAAAAATACTCACAAGGCTCTGTTTGTCCAGTTCTGTCACTGAAAAATTCTGTTCTTGGTGTGACTAAATTGTTGGAACGTAACAGTGGGTTTAAGTCAACACTGGTTTTAAAGTATGCTGTGAAAAACTAAGCTCATATAAATAAAAAATAAAAATGTACATATAGGTGTGTTTGCAATGCATGTCTTTGGAGTCTGTGGTCCGTCCTCATCTAGTAAAATAAATCACTCCAGAAAATTAAACGCCCCTAAAAAAAAAAAAAAAAAAAAAAACACAGATACATCTAAGTGCTGCTCACAGCAGTGCCAAGGAGGTCAACATATTAAGTTGGGTATAAAAAAAGCATTCACCAACCAGCCAGTTACTGACAAAATGTTCTAACATTGTGCAGCAACATTAAAATTTCATAAAAGCTCAAAAACTTTGTCATGCCACAATTGTATAATTTCTCCTCCTTACGCTTTTACCTACAATAGATATTTCAGGACATTTCAAATACCCAGTTTACACTCTGCACTGCAGTCCATAATGTAGACAAAAGGTGTGATACAAACAATGTGTGAACACACAATGGGATATAAATATTTTAACTGAAAAAAATAAATAAATACACATACAGGTATCTGTACTTACGTTTTGGTAATCATACCCAGTCTCAATAAAATGATTTTAAATTAAACAAATACAACTTTGTAGAGTCATAATAGTGTATTAACAAAAAGATTGTACTTGCCACTAGCTAATGCTCTCACGCTGGTTCTATGAATATGATCTTCATCGTCACTCTCCAAGTTTGAAGTCAGGGTTGCTTGATTTGGTTTGCACCTGGCTTCTTCGTAGCTGTCTGGAAATAAAGAGTAGATCAACATAAATCAACATAAACAACAAAAACATAAGAAACCTCAAACAGATCCTTTATACCTGCATATACCAGAATAGATGCGACATGCTTCGACCAAAGTGTAGTATCAGGTCTCTCTCTTCGTTTCACCTTGGCCGTAAAGTTTTTAAAAGTGTGAAGTGACGTGACATGTGGCCAAGTATGGTGACCCATACTTGGAATTAGTGCTCTGCATTTACCCATCCAAAGTGCACACACACAGCAGTGAACACACACACACACCGTGAACACACACCCGAAGCAGTGGGCAGCCATTTATGCTGCGGCGCCCGGGGAGCAGTTGTGGGTTCAGTTATTGCTCAAGGGCACCTCAGTCGTGGTATTGAAGGTGGAAGAGAGCGCTGTACATTCACACACCCCCCACCTACAATCCCTGCTGGTACGAGACTCGAACCCACAAGCTTTGAGTTATGAGTCCGACTCTCTACCCGACTCCATTAGGCCACGACTTCCCCAAAGTCCCCATGACTTCCCCACGACTTTTATGTGGCCAATAGCAATATACAGCCTGTTTAGAACAAGAGCTTCATTTCAACAATTAAAAAGATATGCACCTACTACAAGCTGTATATACTGCAGACTAATGACACACATACAATTGTAAAAGTATTAGATGAGAATTATAGGTAATACCTCACTTGTTATATCGAGCCATGTGGAAGGCACAACATCAACAGTGTTATCTTCAGGAAATGTAATCACAGCATAGCAGTTATGCAATTTCTAAAGAAGAAACAAAAATGAAGGTAAAAGGTGTGATGTAAAATCAATACAGGCTACATGTTGTTGTCATACTTTAAACATAACACCTTCATTCCACAATGGAATGCTATATTATTCTTTAAAACAGTTGATCTTTGCACTCAGCACCTATTCCTAAAGACCTTGATTAGTTCAGGTGTGTTTTATCAGCATGCAAGTAGACCTTAAATCTTGTGTGCCAAAGTTGAGAACCCCTGCTTTAAATATGTTGTTGTGTAATTATAAAAAAGAAAACAACAATATAACAATGCATTGTGAAATAAAGGTGTTTCATTTGAAATCACCATCATGGAGATGCTGTAGATGAGAACTATGAGCTGTATTTTATAGTTCTACATGAAAATGTACTGTTTGCCGCCAAATTTGAATCATCATCTTCAGTACAACATGTTATGGGTATACAAATAAATTAAACCAATAGTGTAATTGTAGATACACAAATGGAGCATTACAATGCTTTGGCATTGATCTTTTATTATTTCTCTGCACTGCTATACGGTATAACAGTGATTTTTTTGGGCCCTGTTAAGAAAATATGGTTCTCTTGTAACTGTAAGAAATGTAAGGCCAATCCTTGCATTCAATCACAGAAAGACTTAATCATAAAGAAATGTTTGTTTAAAATAATGATCACATCAGAAGTAGAACAATCAATGAGTAAATTATCTTATTCAATCTCAAAATTATGAAAAAGGTAAACATACAAAAAATAATTCATTCATTAATTTTACACAATCAGTCCTCCATTTAGAAAAAGATTTACATTTACATTTAGTCATTTAGCAGACACTTTTATCCAAAGTGACTTACAAATGAGGATAATAGAAGCACTTCAAATCATCAGAAAAGCAACAGTATGTAGATGCTGTGACAAGTCTCAGTTAGTTTAGCATAGTGTACATTTTTTTTAAACAAACAAACAAAAAGAAAAGACGAAGAACAAACAGATCTATTTAGAATAAAATAATAGGAAGCGCTATTGTTGGAGGATCAAGTGTTGATCAAGATATATGAAAAACTTTACCTTAACCATTGACGAGGCAGATAGATGTTGGAACAAGCACATATCCACATGATAGGTATTGTTGGTTGTAGTGGTATGAATAAATATCAGACAGTGCTGATAAAGTGGCATTAACATTGACAAATCAATTTGACTGGGTAATTACTTGAACAACAGATAAAAATGCTATGGGTGGTGGGGGGAAATTATAAAATAATAATAATAATAGGGGAAAAAAAGATTTTAGTAAAAAAAAGATTACAGCTCAGTATGAATGAAGCACTGAGAGGACAATGCAAGCACCGTTCCCAGCCTCAATTAAAAATGCCTTTCTGACCAGTTGCCTCTCAGACAATGTTTTCATTCTAGTGTGCCTTACATGAGCCTTGTAAACACCAATCAACCTAGAGTCAGAAGGATGTATAAAGAATGGCTCAAGTTTCTCATAAATGCGACAAAGTACCATTCTTTCTTTGTCTCCGTTTTCACCCATGACAGAAATGACCTCACAGCACTGGACGTCACTAAGAGCATAAGCATTGTTGGGTTTCTGAGTATTAACCACAGATTTGGGCTGTTTTTTTAACTCTTCTTTGTGCATGTCAATTTCACAGAGACGTTTGACAATTTGCGACAGAGGATGTCTACCAGAGCGGACACTTCTTCAGCTGATGTAGGTAGTTTTCAAAAGGAAAAGCACTACATTCATCTAGTCCACCATATTTATATGCATCAGAGGCAAGGTGAACCAAAGAGAGCACATTGTACACCAAGAACTCATCCCCATACACCTTTCTACCATCCTCCACAAAGTGAACCAAAAGAGTCGCTGCATACGAGTTATATTCTTTCACAAGACATGGGCATACCAAAATGGACAATGCCACACTGAACAACAAAAAGTGTTCATAGAGATCGTCAGAGAGAATGCCTTTCAAGACAATTTTACCTGTGTAAAGGGCAAATTGTCGCAATTCAGTAGCTTTCCACCTGTCTATTTCGTCTAGGACACGTGGCTTTCTAGCAAAAAGGCCTGGTATGAATGGCCTTAAGTCAAGAAGTCGGGAACTTATCTCCCTTATCTGACCAGATGACAAACGGGTTTTGAGCTTTCCACGCATCCACAACAAAATCAGTTTTCGCATAACACCAAGACAGCATTGGTGCATATAGTCTGCAGGAAACTGCTGAACCATGTCCATTCGGAGCATGCAAAAAGGAGATACATCTGAAGGCTGGTGGTGCTCTTCCTGTAATTTGTTACGGAAAGACACATCTGTTCTGAGAGTCACAGTGGTGTTCTCTAGGTAGATAACCCGAGAACCATCCCAGAAACCTTTTTGCATGCATTTATCGCAACCATAATAGCCTGAATATTGCTTGGTGCACTTAACAAGTGCTTTTGCTGGGGCATCACAACTGACACATCGCAGATTAACTTTTAAAAGACCCTTGTCAGTCTCTAAACCATTTTGTAAAAGGTCACTAAGGTCACGCATTGTATCTGTCAGAAAATTAAGACTTTTTGGTTTGGAAGCTCTCTTCCAAAGAGTATTGTATTTTTGTTGTGATGACATATTGTCAATTACCACCCCTATAAAACTCTTAAAATCAAAAACATACCGAGCCAGATTCCATTTTGTACACTTTCAAAGCAGTCACTGTTGGAGGAAAAAGGAAATATTCAAAATTAGTAGAGACCAACACACACAATTTTTAAGCATAATACATATTAATATCTTACACATTAATTTAAACATGTGATGGTTTGTGATGCGCCTTATTTTTATTATTTAAATAGATCAAAACGTTATGGGGACAAAAAAAAAAAGAAGATCAGTCAACAAACATTACTAATCAATGTTCCTATGCCACGCAAAAGCTAGAACATTATAAACTGCAAACAACAAAGCACATGAATAACGTTGCTCTAGTGAAATAATGTCAAGGTTACACAGATTTGCCCTCAGTAAGCGTGAACCCCACAAATTCAAATAACGTTACGTTACTGACGCCCTTTCAAGTTTGACAAAGGATTCAACAAAGAGTGACTGATCAATTGATTATAAAACATGTTTGCACTTTCGGTAGGTTATAAAATATATATTAACTTTTGTATGTTTTCAGTAGATTGAAATACACTTAGTTTACCTTGTATGCTAGATTTAAATCATGTAAAATATACTTCAAAACACGTCAATATACAGTTTAAAGTAATAATCAATCGAATTTTAATTTAGCGATAATAGAAAAAAAACATGAAATAAATATGATGCAAGCTCTGTACACCTACCTGCTGAAGCGCCGTTCGGAGTGAACGAACGTCCTGTGTGCGCAGGCGCGATCCGTTTTGCGCGCCATGCTCTTAAAAGTACAGCTCACAATTTAAAATATAGGACCCATATCTGATATTCGATATTAGACAGACAGACAGACAGACAGACAGACAGACAGATAGATACATGGTCTTCTCATTGAATTAACTGATTTTTTTAAGTACAGATCACTTAAAAGGCAAACAGACTAAACTCAAATGTTCCAATTCATATATTGTTGTGTTTATTGGCTTTAAGAAATTTATAAATCATTAAAACAATTTTTTCTTCACATCAACAACTTTATTTGGGTTACACAACATAGATGAATTTCGATTATGTATACTGACTTAACTGCATAATAACATT